TATGGTTTTGTTGAAATTTTTAACTGTTTGAAATTAAATATAGAATTGTCATTATTATTATTATTATTATCTTACCTATGTAGATGAATTTGTTAAAATATGTAAAGCTGTCTGGACAGCATCTCCGGATTGTAAGGGGTCAGTGTTTACATCTTCGTCCGCCATTATCTGCTATTTAGAAATTAAATAGGAGATGTAAATGTTTAGGTGGTAAAAGAAAAACAGAAAAATCTCTTTTTCCTGATAAGTTTACTCTTATTTAGTGATTTATCAATTAAACGTGCGAACTTTTCAGAACCGAACCGGTCCACAGAACCGAACCTCCGTCCGTTTGGACCTCAGTTTAAACAGAATACACACATAACAGGCGTACAATTTCAGCTTTCACAAGACTGAATGACACAATTTCAGCATCTAACATCACTAGCCCAACGCTTAGAACATGCAGCGTTTTAGACTTCAAAGGGCACAGCCCCAGCACGCTGCGTAAACATGCAATGTTTTGACTGCTACTTTCCACATGCCAACATTTAAAATCAATTTTTCACACGAATACACAGTCATTTATGTCCCCGTACGGGCCACCAATATGTAGATGAACAGATGCTCAGATATATTCATCAATTAACGCGGATTCCTCATTTTTCTGAACTGAATAAAACGTGCATTGAATTTAATGAAATGCAAACGTGAGACGTCATTTATATTTGACCCATCAAAATGAATGCGGTCATTTATTTACAGAATCAAAGTTTAACATCAAACATTTACATTAATTTGGCAAATTATGAAAATAACAACATAAGCAATCAATCAGGAAAAATCATACGGCCATGATTTTTCCGTTGCTTCACCACAGACATTTATGAAACTGTACAATTATGATCTTTTACCCACACGGATGTGGATGAGCATTTTACACAGACATTTCTAAATATCTGGAAGAATATCTACTTGATAGAAAGTTTAAAGATGGGAAAGAAGTTTAGAGGGAGTAAAGATGGTATGGGAGGGGAAGTGTTCACCAGAATTGACACTCTCCATCAGAACCCAGCTCTCCCCGGTACGCTTGGTAGGAAACTTGACTCGTTACCTTTCTGAAGTTAATCAGCAGATATGGAGCTCCGTTAACGCTACCTGTCCAGCGTCTCCTTAGGATGCTGTGAATCGTCAGAAGTAGTGGCGAGTGAAAATGTTATAATCCCATGGAACTCGGAAGAGCTCTGTTGTCATGTCAGGATCATCCCGTCTCTCACAGAACTGGGCTTCTCTCACAGAACTGGTTGAACTGTGTATCCAGCAGAACTCCAACAGCACTCCATCAGAACTGAACAGAACTGTCCCAGAACCGTTCCAGCACCATCCCAGAACTTCTAACAGAACTGTGTAGACCAGGAAGTACCGACATTTTAAAGAGCTCTTTCCCGGTTCACTTTTGGGAGTATTCCCATTGGTCAGAAACAACCAGACGGGGTGTGTTTTGTGACGTAAGAGGTTAGAAGACAGCAAGAATTGTTATGAAACAGATCAGAAATGTTCTCACAGACAGAGAGAGTTTTGTTTTGGCGCGTTTCAGAAACAGGTGCCAAACCTCTATATTTACGTCTGAGAGGATTCTAAAAACATGACAGTTCGTTCTAACAACTTGTTTTGCGTTTGACTCCAACCTTGGACCAACTTACACTTGCTCATTCAAAAGCAGAAATCAGAAAAGGCATAATTACTCTGTAACAGCTTTGACATGAGTTCTAACTTTGCATGAGAATAAAAATCATTACACAGTTAATAAAATTGATTAGTTCACTGCAACATCTAAAATGGTTTGAACTAAGACACTTTGATTATCAACATTTGTAAAATAGTAATGATAATAAAACAGAGAGTGTTCTTTTCACTTGAATCTTCAAGAAAGAAAGTCTCAGGATGGGTGAACCTGTATTTCTGGATTCAAATCAATAAAATGACAGTTCCTGTCCCACAAGGTTCTTAAGGTCAAGGGTTTTGACCTTAGGCTTAGTCGTGACACCAGATTAAGTTCACTACACCTAAATGAATCAGAGATCAGAACATTTTAAGATGTTTCCAAAACTTTCAAGAACCAACATTTAAACCCAATAATTATAGAAATATTCCATCCATTCATCCATCCCATTATCTTCCGCTTATTCTGAAGTCGGGTTGCGGGGGCAGCATCTTGAGCAGGGAGGCCCAGACATCTTTCCACAGCCACCTCTTCCAGCTCTTCTGGGAGGATTCCAAGGTGTTCCCAGGCCAACCGACAGACATAGTCTCTCCAGCGTGTCCTGGGTCTTCCCCGGGGTCTCCTCCCAGTTGGATATGCCCGAAGCACCTCCCTAGGGAGGCGCCAGGGGGCATCCTTTCCTGATGCCCAAATCACCTCAACTGGCTCCTCTCGACGTGGAGGGGTAGCGGTTCTACTCCGAGTCTCTCCTGGATAACTGAACTTCTCACCCTATCTCTAAGTGAGAGTCCAGCTACCCTGCGGAGAAAACTAATTTCAACCGCCTTTATCCGCAATCTCATTCTTTCGGTCACTACCCAGAGCTCATGACCATAGGTGAGGGCAGGAACGTAGACTGACCGGTAAAAAGAGAGCTTTGCCTTACAGCTCAGCTCCCTCTTCACCACAACGGACCGGTACAGAGTCCACAATACTGCAGATGCTGCACCAATCCATCTGTCAATCTTGCGCTCCATTCTTCCCTCACTCATGAACAAAACCCCAAAATACTTGAACTCCTGCACTTGAGGCAGAACCTCACCCTCAACCTGAAGAGAGCAATCCACCCTTTTCCGGTTGAGGACCATGGCCTCAGATTTGGAAGTGCTGATTCTCATCCCAGCCACTTCACACTAGGCTGCAAATCGCTCCAGTGAGAGCTGAAAATCATGGCACGATTACACCAACAGGATCACATCATCTGCAAAGAGCAAAGATGGAATACTGAGGCCACCGAACCAGAAACCCTCCGCAAGCTGGCTGCATAGAGAAATTCTGTCCATAAAAGTTATGAACAGAATCGGTGACAACGGGCGGCCCTGACAGAGTCCAACTCCCACCCTGTAGCGGTCTGACTTACTGCCGTCAATGCGAACCAAACTTTTGCACCACTTGTATAGGGACTGAACAGCCCATAACAACGGGTCTCCAATCCCATACTCATGGCGCAACCCCCACAGTGTACCCCGAGGAACATGGTCAAATGCCTTCTCCAAGTCCACAAAACACATGTAGACTGGATGGGCAAACTCCCATGACCCTTCAAGGACTCTATTGAGGGTAAAAAGCTGATCCATTGTTCCATGGCCTGGACAGAACCCACATTGTTCCTCCTGGATCTGAGGTTCGACCAACGATTGGACTTGCTTCTCCAGTACTCCTGAATAGACCTTACCAGAGTGATGCCTCTATAGTTGGGGCACACCCTCCGGTCCCCCTTTTTGAAGAGGGGAACCACCACCCCAGTCTGACAATCCAGTGGCACTACCCCCGATGTCCACGAGACGTTGCAAAGGCATGTCAGCCAAGACAACCCCACAACATCCAAAGCTTTAAGCAAATCAGGGTGAATCTCATCCACTTCTGGAGCCCTGCCGCCTCAAAGCTTTTTAACTACCTTGGTGACCTCAGCCACAGTTATGGACTGATCAACCCCAAAGTTCCCTGACTCAGCTTCCTCCATGGAAGATGTGCTGGTGGGATTGAGAAGGTCCGAAAAGTATTCCTCCCACCTCCCGACGACATCACTGATTGAGGTCAACAACACCCCACCTTCACTGAACACAGTGTTGGTAAAGTGCTGCTTTCCCCTCCTCAGCCGCCTGATGGTTTGCCAGAATCTCTTTGGAGCCGACTGAGAGTCTCTATCCAAAGTCTCACTGAACGCCTCCACATCCAAGCTTTTGTCTCAGCAACAGCCAAGGCTGCAGACCGCTTTGCCCTCCGGTACTCCTCAGCTGCCTGCAGAGTCCCACTGGCTAACAAGGCCCAATAGGACTCCTTCTTCAGCTTGACAGCCTTCCTAACCCAGGGTGTCCACTACCGAGTTTGTGGATGGCCACCGAGAGAAGCACTGACAACCTTGTGGCCACAGCTCAAGGCAGCTACCTCAACAAGTGAGGCATAGAACATAGCCCACTCGGACTCAATGTCCCCCACCTCAGCTGGGATGCGGTTAAAGCTCTCACAGAGGTGTGAGTTGAAGATCTCTCTGACAGGTTCTTCTGCCAGGCATTCCCAGCAAACCCTCACTATATGTTTGGGTCTACTGGGTCTGTCCAGCATCTTCCCCAGCCGTCTGATCCAACTCACTACCAGGTGGTGATCAGTTGATAGCTCAGCTCCTCTCATCACCTGAGTGTCCAAATCAAACGGCCGCAAATCAGATGATATGACTATGAAGTCAATCATTGATCTACGACCTAGGGTGTCCTGGTGCCAAGTGAACTTATGGACACCCATATGTTTGAACATGGTGTTTGTGATGGACAAACTATGACTAGCACAGAAGTCCAACAACAGAACACCACTTGGGTTCTGACCAGAGAGGCCATTCCTCCCCTCCAGGTCACACCGTCATTACCCACGTGGGCATTGAAGTCCCCCAGCAGAATAAAGGAGTCTCCAGATGGCACACCTTCCAGCGCCCCTGCCAAGGACCCCAAGAAGTCTGGATACTCTGAACTGCAGTTTGGCTCATAGGCACAAACAACAGTCAGAGCCCATCCCCCCACCCGAAGGTGAAGGGAAGCCTCCCTCTCATCTACCGGGGAAAACTCCAACACACAGGCATCAAGTCGGGGGGCTACAAGTAGACCCACATCAGCTCATCAGCTCTCACCATGGGCAACTCCAGAGTGGAATAAGGTCCAACCCCTCTCAAGGAGATTGGTTCCAGAGCCCATGCTGTGCATCGAGGTGAGCCCAACTATATCTAGTCAGTACCTCTCAACCTCACGCACAAGCTCAGGCTCCTTACCCATGGGTAGAGACCCGGTCATTAGGTGCTCGCCGACAAGCCCCTCCCCCAGGCCTGGCTCCAGGATGGGGCCCCAGTAACCCACGTCCGGGTGAGGGAAAATCAAGTCCATTTATTTATCCATTTATTTATTTTAAAAAAAAAACTTAAAATTAATTAAAAAAATTCAGTGTTTCAGTGTTTATTGACTTGTTTAGTTAATAAAAATCTTCTGAATCGCTCTTTGGCTGGCCTGTCACCTATAGGACCAATTTGCCTTGGGAGACCCTACCAAATTGTCCCTGACAGCATAGCTCCTTGGATCATTCAGGCACACAAACTCCTCCACCACGATAAGGTGACAATTCAAGGAGGAGTATATAAATATATATAATGTATATAAATAATGTATATAAATATAATTTCATTAAATACTGTGCTCAAAAGTTAAACTCAAAGCAATATGTGAACATTGCTAAAACCATATAAAATGATCATAACAGAATGTATATTCATATTACCGAGAATCCTGTTTGAGGAATCTGTGTCGTGTCCCAGTAGTCCGGCACAGTGGTAGTATTTAGTGGCCTTCTGCAGGAAAAAAATTAAGAGTAAATTTATTTTGAGTCAGCTGAGGGGAACAAATGGAAAAGAAAATTAGGAATGTCAGCATGTAACTGCACATAATCTGTACAAATGCTTATTTTCATAATTTTATTAATTCATGCATTTGGGGTTCCTACCTCACTTTCTTTGCTTTGACATCTGCGGCAGAAACGAACCGAGGACGTCTTCTCACTTGCCTTATTGTGCCAAATTGCGTGTTTGCTTGTATCATGTCTGAATGGAAAAGAATGTCACTTTTAATAAATCTGAAGCAAAGTCTGAAGGTAGAGGAGTTTAGTCCCGAGTTCCCCAAGTTGATGCTGCTGTCTGTATCAACACTCCTGAACAGCATTGCATGGAAGTCAGAGATAGTGTCTTTGAACTGGCAGATAGGATGGTGGTCGCTCCTTTTTACCATAGAGAACTGTTTAGTATGGGCCAACTGTAGGGGGATGACACTAAAGTTCTCTTGGGGAAGATTGTGACTGTTTGCTAGAATGGAGTCAGACTGATGAAGCAGCTGAGACAAACACAAGGGGTCAAGATGAGGCAGCTTAGTCATAACATGTTTAAGACTTTCACATCTACAGGCGCATATCAGAATCAGAATAAACTTTATTGTCATTGCACAGGGAAGTACAGCGAAACTGTATTCCATACAGTCGTCCGAAAGATGGGTGGAGTGTACGTGGCTGCAGCTCCAAGGAGCACAGCCCTTAATCTTTAGATAAGAAAAGGGGAAAGATCATGAGTATAGTGGGTATTAAAAAAAGATCTCTTCACACCATGTCCTTGTGAGGACATGGTTTAAGACATCAAAAAAATCTACCAGCAAGCACATTTATAGACACATTACATATGCATTTGACGACAAGACGGTGAGATTTGTCCATGAAGCTCTTTCAGATTGTACCATAGTCCTGATAAGATGTTAAAGTGTCAGCTGGTACAGCTCTGATAAGCGGTTACAGAAGTTCTCAGGGGAGGGGTGTGGATAGAGCAGAACTTTCTTTGTTTACACACATCCCTAGGAGCAATTTGATAAGTTGGCCTCTTCAAGGCCGAACGGGGAGGCCAGATTCAGATATACCACTGTTGTTTTTGTGCAGGCAGACTATTTTTCTTTCGTCAGCCTTAGTTCTGCTGGTAATCTCAATGATCCAAAATGGCCAGATTAGTGGGCTTTCTGCTGGTCTGTGCTTATTAGCCTTCTCCAAGATTGATTCCAACATGCTGGCAAGTTCCAGAAGCTACAAGTGGCCTACGATTCTCATAAATCACTTCCAGATTACGGTTGAGTTTGCAAATCAGCTGAGTCTGAAATCTCAAAGCATCCTTCACATAAGTTCAGCAGCTTTGCCATGGCCAAAACTGCTGCAGACGTCTTCCTTAATAGCCAATAACATACGTAGGTATCAGCAGGTGCCCAAATCCAATGATGTATAAATCTTCGACATCCTCCAGAGACAATTCGTAAGATGTGTAAATAAAAGCTCAGATACACAAAACAAATAGCAAATGCAGGAGGATGGCAGGAGTATGAAGAAAAGGCATCCGTCTTGCTCAAGGGCGAGTGAGGAAATAAATTAGATTGTGAAACGGTTCAATATTTTTGTCAGTCATTTCAGAAAGTGAAACTCAAATATTACATAATTTCATTACACAGAGTGAAATATTTCAAGTCTTTCTTTTTTGTAATTTTGATGATTATAGCTTAAAATTATCCATCCATCCATCCAACGATTTTCTTCCGCTTATCCGGGGTCAGGTCACGGGGGTAGCAGCTTAAGTAGGGAGGCCCAGACTTCCCTCTCCCCAGCCACTTGGGCCAGCTCCTCCAGGGGAATCCCGAGGTGTTCCCAGGCCAGCTGAGAAACATAGTCCCTCCAGCGTGTCCTGGGTCTTTCTCTGGGTCTCCTCCCGGTGGGACGTGTCCAGAACACCTCACCATGGAGGCATCCTAACCAGATGCCCGAGCCACCTCAACTGGCTCCTCTCGATGTGGAGAAGCAGTGGCTCTACTCTGAGTCCCTCTCAGATGATCGAGCTTCTCACCCTATCTCTAAGGGAGAGCCCAGACACCCTGCGGAGAAAACTCATTTTGGCCGCTTGTATCCGAGATCTCGTTCTTTCGGTCACAACCCAAAGCTCATGACCATAGATGAGGGTAGGAACGTAGATCGATCAGTAAATTGAGAGCTTCGCCTTTTGACTCAGCTCTCTCGTCACCACGACAGACCTGCACAGCGCCCGTTTCACTGCAGATGCAGCACCTATCCGTCTATCGATCTCACGCTCCATTTTCCCCTCATTCATGAACAAGACCACAAGATATTTGAACTCCTCCACTTGGGGCAGGACCTCCTCCCTGACCCGGAGAGGGCACTCTACCCTTTTCTGTCTCAAGACCATGGCCTCAAATTTCGAGGAACTGATCTTCATTCCGGCTGTGTCGCACTCAGCTGCGAACCGTTCCAGCGAAAGCTGTAGATCACAATCTGATGAAGCCAATAGGACCACATCATCTGCAAAAAGCAGAGATGCGATCTTAAGGCCACCAAAACGGATCCCCTCAACACCTTGGCTGCGCATAGAAATTCTGTCCATAAAAGTTATGAACAGAATCGGTGACAAAGGGCAACCTTGGCGGAGTCCCCAGGCTCCGCTTCCTCAGTGGAAGACGTGCCGGTGGGATTGAGGAGGTCTTCAAAGTATTCCGACCACCGACCCACAAAATCCTGAGTTGAGGTCAGCAGCACACCACCCCCACTATAAACTGTGTTGGTGGTGTACCACTTTTCCCCCCCAGACGCCAGATGGTGGACCAGAATTACCTCAAAGCCGTGCGGAAGTCATTCTCCATGGCCTCTCCGAACTCCTCCCATGCCCGTGTTTTTGCCTCAGTGACCACCCAAGTCGCATGTCGCTTGGACTGCCGGTACCCATCAACTGCTTCCGGGGTCCCACAGGCCAAAAAGGCCCGATAGGACTCCTTCTTCAGCCTGACAGCATCCCTCACCGCCAGTGCCCACCACCGGGTTCGAGGGTTGCTGTCACGACAGGCACCGACAACCTTGCGACTGCAACTCCAGTAAGCCGCCTCGACAATAGAGGCACGGAACATGGCCCACTCTGAGTCAATGTCCCCTACCTCCCCCAGAACGTTTGAAGTTCTCCTGGTGGTGGGAGTTAAAGCTCCGTCTCACAGGAGACTCTGCCAGACGTTCCCAGCAAACTCTCACAATACATTTGGGCCTGCCAGATCTGACCGGCATCCTCCCCCACCATTGGAGCCAACTCACCACCAGGTAGTGATCAGTGGACAGCTCCACCCCTCTCATCACCCGAGTGTCCAAGACATGTGGCCGCAGATCAGATGAGACGACGACAAAGTCGATCATCGAACTGCGGCCTAGGGTGTCCTGGTGCCAAGAGCACATATGGACACCCTTATACTTGAACATGGTGCTTGTTATGGACTATTAATGACGAGCACAGAAGTCCAACAACAGAACACCACTCGGGTTCAGATCAGAGGGGCCATTCCTCCCAACCACATCCCTCCAGGTCTCACTGTCATTGCCCACATGAGCACTGAAGTCCCCCAGCAGAACAAGGGAGTCCCCAGGAGGTGCACTTTTCAGTACCCCCTCCAAGGACTCCAAAAAGGGTGGATAATCTGAACTGCCGTTTGGTGCATAAGCACAAACAACAGTCATAACCCATCCCCCCACATGTAGGCAGAGGGAGGCTACCCTCTCATTCACCAGGGTGAACCCCAACACACAGGCACCAAGATGGGGGGCAATAAGTATACCCACTCCTGCTCGGCGCCTCTCACCAGGGGCAACTCCAGAGTGGAAGAGTGTCCAACCCCTCTCAAGGAAACTGGTTCCCGAGCCAGAGCCATGCATAGAGATGAGTCCGACTATTTCTAGCCAGAACCTCTCAACCTCACACACCAGCTCAGGCTCCTTCCCCAGCAGTGAGGTGACATTCCACATCCCAATAGCCAGCTTCTGTAGCCGAGGATCAGACCGCCAGGGTCCCCGCCCTCGGCCACCACCCATCCCACGTTGCACCCGACCCCTTTGGCCCCTCCCACAGGTGGTGAGCCATGGGAAGGGGGACCCACGTCTCCTGTTTGGGCCGTGCCCGGCCAAGCTCCATGGGCAAAAGCCCTGCCACCAGGCACTCGCCCGTGTGCCCCACCTCCAGGCCTGGCTCCAGAGTGGGGCCCCGGTGACCCACGTCCGGGTGAGGGAAAATCAAGTCCATTTATTTATCCATTTATTTATTTAAAAAAAAAAACTTAAAATTAATTAAAAAAATTCAGTGTTCAGACAATTAAAATATTGTGAAGAGGTTCAATATTGGAAATTCCTCGTGTCACACCCTAATCAGCTGATTAACTCTTGGAGCCACAGATGTCTCATTCCTCATGCCCATCCACTCCTGAACCAGCGACAACGTCAGTAACATCTTACCTGCTGAGGAGACAAAGAATTGGACTGTTGCTCAGTGGTC